TATTATTATTATTATTATTATTATTATTAAAGTCCAGCCTATCTTGAATTTCATTGACTCTTATCTACCGCCAATTTGCTTTGATCATTAGTAGTTCAGATTCTTGTGGAAAACTTTAGCATACAATAAACCTATAGTCATTTGAACCCCCTGGCTTCCTGATTTCTTGCACCTGACAAAAAATGAAATAAAAGCAGATAAGAATGTTTATAAATACTCGTTTAGTCATGAAAAAAGCTCACTCATGCTATCAGGATCCTAGACATCATGGCAAAGCCAGGTTTTTAGTACCTTGCAAAAAATCAGCAGGATTGGAAAGTCTAATTTCTGGGGGGGGGGGAATGATGTTTCATTAATTAATATGTTAATTGTGAATTTGGAGAACTAGGTTCAAAGTCCAGTCGTAACCAGAGAATTTCATTAGCTCCTTTTAGGTTACATCATAATACTCAGTACTGTTCACTCCAGAAGTTTGTCTTGAGAATAAAATGAGGGGTGGCCCCAGCACCTCAGAATAAAGTGTCATCATATAATGTAAAGAAAGAAATTAACCATCTAAAGCAGTGGTTCTCAACCTGTGGGTCGGGACCCCATTTGGGGTCGATCAACCATTTCATGGGGGTCGCCAAGCAAGGCTGTCCGCCATTTTTTTGTCCGCCATTTTTTCCCCCCTTTTCCGGCGGGTGCCTTACCTCTCTTGGGCTGGGCCAGCTGGTGTTCGGCCTGCTCCGTCTCTGCCGCTTGCCAGCTACGCCTCGGCCAGCGCAGGGGGCGGAACCGCGCATGTGCGGCGCTCCCGGGCAGGGAAAGTCCTCGACTTACGACCGGTTGGGTAGTCCTCGACTTATGACCGGTTTAGTACTCAACTTACGACTGGTTTAGTCCTCGACTTACAACCGGTTTAGTCCTCGACTTACGACCGGTTGGGGTCGCGGCATTAAAAAGGTTGAGAACCACTGATCTAAAGGCCCAATTAAGGGCTAAACAGAGCCAGAGAAACAATTAGGCTTGAAAGCCGGCTTTTGGGTTGGTAGGTCAGGGCTCTCAGCTGAATGAATAAATGCACGTATCCTCTTGCCAGCTAAATGGAGAATTGTTTACATGTTGGAAGATTTGCTGAGCATTTAACATTTCTCTTGTCTTCCCGTTCTCCTCACCCCCACTAATAGATCAGCTCTTACGATCAGCAAGTCAGCATTCTGACAGCAGCGGCTTTGCAGAAGATTCTTCCACTGACTGCTTTTTGCTCAATCAACTGCAGGTAAATTTCTTGGATTGCTTCATTTCTACTTTCCCCATTCTAAGCAGTCTGCAGTGTGGGCAAGGGGACCCTTCGGCATTCCTGGAGGAAACATGGGAAAGGTCTTGTTTTCTAGGAATCTAATTCAGTAACAGGACGTCTCTTTTGCACCTGGATGGTTGGATTGAGCTGCAACAGAATCTTCTAGCTACAAAGAGCTGCTATTTCTTATTTCTTTTCCACTGTGATTGCAAGATGTAATCCTCACTCTCCAGATACAATACCAGCAGCAGTATAAAAATGCAGTACTCACAACTGCCTATAGCAGGGGTCTCCAACCTTGGCCACTTTATGACTTGTGGACTTCAACTCCCAGAATTCCTCAGCCCGCCATGCGGGCTGAGGAATTCTGGGAGTTGAAGTCCACAAGTCATAAAGTGGTCAAGGTTGGGGACCTCTGGCCTATAGCACTGAATAGGGAAGAGTCTTTAAAAGCTTAACTTAATCAGCCAAATATTTCTGGAAATGCCAGTTTATTTTCTTGAACCTAAAAGTTTATGCCATGGCTTTGTAAATTTCTTCGGGAAAGAGCACTGAGTGACATTGAGGCTGCTACCAAGTGGGCTATGTTTCTGCTGAATACCTGCCACATAAATCGGAATCAACAACATTTTGCTTTCTACCCATTTTCCATACTCTTGTATTTTGCTTGGTGAAATACTGAACAGAAGCATTATGACCTGCAATTCTTGGTAGATGACTCACTTTATGACCCATTAAGCTTGGAGATGCTCCAGCGGAAACCCATTTTATATCAGTCAAACTGAAGCAAGCAGATATATCACTTTAGAGCACGGTTGCCCAGCATTTTGACTTGCCTATTATATAATATATATATATAATAGTAAATGGATATAACTAACAAGCTTCCTTTAATTTTAATATTTTTTATTATCTTGTGGGGCTGCATTACTAACTGTCCAGGGCCGGATGCGGCCTGTGGGCTGCAGGTTGGACACACCTGCTTTAGAGCAGTGATGCCAACAAGAGTGTATGGACCTCCTTCTTATCCTATGCAAAAGCCATTCTTTGAGCCCAAACATTTTCTGCCACAAAGCAGGCCCCCATTGCTCAGGATAAACAAAAGGGGACCAAGTCAGTGTCAGGACAAATTGAAAGGAAGGGTGAAAATTATAATTAAGTTGCAATTTTTTCTATACCAGCGTTTTTCTGCTTTAGAGAAAGAATTCATTGGAGTAGTGAGGAAAGGAATTTTCTTTGCCCAAGGGTAGACTGGTAAAGGCAGATTTCTAAAGAGGCTATGAGACCGAACAGCAGATTTATAAAAAGGATCTAAATAATTTTTAAAAAGGAATTATGTGGTGTAATTATGAATGAGTTTACTCAGACATCAGATCTATTAAATTCACTACTTAAGAAGGATTTGACATCACTGTCAAAATCAGAAACACAATAAAAAACATAGGAAGTATACTTGTTTTTTAAATTGTGGATTTACTTTTCTTGCCTTTGGCTTGTTCCCTTGACTATCTTATACTAAGAGAGAACTTCCCATTCCACTGCAGTCATGCAAGATTTGAACACACACCGAGAGAAAGAAAGGGAGAGAGAGAACGAAACACCGCTATCTCTTTGGATTAATGTTTCTCTTTTACTCCCTCCCATTCCATGGATGTATTTAGGGCTGCAGGGTCTGTGTGTCCTACTTCCTGACTGTTACTTCTTTGTCTTAAGTGCGCTTGGTTTCCTGCTTCCCTGGAGTCGATGGCATAAATAATGGCTCTGCCTGATGCCTAATAAAGAAACCAGGAGGACAACAAACAAAGTGTGTGGGCAAAACCGAGACTGTAGAGCTTCGGGGACTCCGTGTACCCAGTTCCTCTTTGGAATGGGAGATTGTATAACTCATGTGCGGTGCTGAGGACACAAAGGGAAAGGGTGGAGGCTCTCTGTATTCAAAGACAAATAACTCCTGCCTGCCAGACTTTATTGGTAAAGGCAGACAGAAGAAGGCTCAGAAGGAGGGGAACCTAAGTTAGCAGAAGGGCAAGAGGGCCGTCCTTCAGTTCCAGTCTACTTGGGACTTTAAAGGTCGAGAGCCGGTTAAATAAATAATGAGTTTTGGAAATTGGAGATAAGCAGGGTTGGGGAAAGTAAGTGCCTTATATCGTAAGCTTCCCTAGAATTTCCCAACCACCCTTTAGATAATGTCAAGATTTCTCAAGTTAAAAGTAGATCTGTTTTGTTTTTTACAAGTCTTGATAACGGTTACCAAAGTTATGACAATGATTTCCAGATTTTCATACCTTATAGCCTCCAATATCTTTTACAATTAAAATTGGGAATACTTTTTAAGTTGGTTTTTTTTTTAAAAAAATGTTATTAGTGAAATTTAACTAAGAGAAATAAAAGCAATATACAGGTAGTCCTCGACTTACGACCATAATTCTGCCCCAAATTTCTGTTGTTAAGTGAGATATTTGTTAAGTGAGTTTTGCTCCATTTTACAACCTTTCTTGCCTCTGTTGTTAAGTGAAGCCCCACAGTTATTAAGTTACTTAACATGGTTGTTAATCTGGTGAATCTGGCTTCCCCATTGATTTTGTCAGAAGGTCGCAAAAGCTGACCACAGGATCCCGGGACACTGCAACCATCATAAATATGAGTCAGTTCCCAAACATCTGAATTTTGATCACATGATCATGGGGGTCGTAACTGTGAAAAGTAGAAAAGCCACTTTTTTCAGGTCCGTTGTAACTTTGAACGATCACTATGTTGTAAGTTGAGAATTACCTTAAAAAAAATACTGCCTATATATTTTATACGCGGCCTACTGATCGCCTCACTGCAAATGCAGTTGCAAAACAGTGATTTGTCCAGGAGGAAATGTCCCACGTTGTGCCTGTCTGAAAAAATTCTCTGAGATGGAGAAATAACTTGTCTTGAGCAACGAAAGCTGGGTCCATGGAGGTTTAAAGAACTGCCTTCCCTGAGTTTCTGTGAAATTGTCAGAGGCAGCCAAATGTGTAAGCAGCTGCCTGGAGAAAGTAAAAAAAAAAAAAAGGAATCCCAGTGAACAAATTAATCTTGAAATAGAATTGCATTGTTTAACAAGGTATGCTGCGGTTGTGGTAGAACCACCTTTTTCATGTTGATGAAAAGAGGCGAGCGTTCTGTTTTCTATTATAATGTTATTAATCCTTCTTTCCCTCACACCACCCTGTCTCCCATGTGTTCTCCTCAGGGGCACGACTCGCTGCAAGCCATGGGAAGCAGCGCTGATAGCTGTGACAGTGAGAACACTGTGAAATCCTATAGCGAAGAACTCAAGACGCCAGTTGCTGAGCCAGAGTGCTGTTTCAGCGAGCTTGATGAGAAATTCCTCCTCTTGGAAGTGAAGCAACAGGGGAAAGAGGTGGTATCTGAGGTGGGTGGAAGAGGCCAGGACATGTTGGAACGTCAAGATGGACTCTCTTCAAGTGGCAAAAAGGAAGAGTTTGAGAGAGCTGGCTTAGAAAGAAGAAATGAAGTTTCTTCAGTCCGTGAAGCAGAATCTGAAGCATTGGATGAAAGCAGCGAAGAGAGTGATGTGGATAAGAGCAGTGAATGCGAGTTCCCTGCCTATAAAACTCACCATGTTCTCAAATCGCTATCATCTCTAGAAAGTAGCTGTTCCTCTCCTTCTTCTGTGGAGCTGGTTAATGTTGCTTTACAAAGAGCCCAGAGAAAGGACAGTGTGCCTTCCAATCCCAGAACAGGTCGCCCCCTGCTCAAATCAAAAGACCTTCTTTTTAAGAATAGGCATCACGTCTCAGAATTGGGTTATCCTCTGAGACGCTCCCAGTCCCTCCCAACTACACTTCTCAACCCGGTGCGAGTTGTCTCCTCGGTGAATCTCCAGCTAAATCCAGGCAAGAAAATGGTGTGTGGCCCTCCTTCTTTCACATACAAGTATGACAGAGAAGATGATCCTGAGAAAGAGAATACCCCAGAAGAAACGTCCTTTGGAGACGTTGACAAGAACTCTACTCCTGTATGTAAATCTACCCTCCACATTGCTCCAACACCCATGAGGAAGGAACCTCCCCAACCCATTGGAAACAAGGGGCCGGATGAGTTTGCTCGTAGCAGAATTCAAAGCTGCCCTTTGCACCTCCCACCATGCATGTCTCAGTCATCGTGTTCTTTGCATTCTCTCCACTCTGACGTTCCAGACCTGCACTTCCAGGGCCACATGAGGACATTTAGTACACACAGCATCCCAAGCACCCCTGGCTCTTCCTGTGGGGGATTGCCCTCCCCTTTTGGCTGCCCTCATATGTTGAGGCACGTTGGACATCCCCACCGGGTTCATTCCATAAACTCCCCCTCCACTGTTGAAATGCAGCTGAGACGAGTGTTGCATGAAATCAGAAACTCTTTGCAAAACCTTTCACAGGTAAGGGAAAGTGGAGTCGGTTGCTATAATCCAGTCCTCCTCTGTTCTAGAACCATCCATATATGCTGTATTGCAATGTCCATCTTCACCACCATATGGGGTGGATCATTGTGCATGATAGGAAAAATTGCCCAACATAACATAAATTTTGTAGCTTAGAAGGTGAAATAGGGTAAAGCATATTAATGGTTTAAGGCTGACAGGACCAAGGGGAAAGGAAACCTGCCATTATTTTCTTACTTAGATGCATACTCTTTGATATCAAAGGAATGTTAAGCAGAGCTTTCCTATGTCAATTATTGTGATGCTAAGACGAAAGGATTTTGGCTCAAGAACAACCACCAAACTAAAATTTGAACACCCAGATCTGTATAAAACGCCTTTTCCCCAATGGCTTACACTGCCTCTTACATACGCAAATTAAAGTTAAAATATATAAAAAAGTCAAATTCTTTAAGAAGCATGTATTTGAACTTTTTATTTTTTTCCTCCTTGGAGAAAAAGCATGCATCAAGTACATTAAAGAGGATGAAACATAGCATGGGGCAATATATGCCATGCAAATTTCTAGACAGCATTCATGAAACTGAAAAAAAGGGGCAAATGTGGGAATTCTGGGATTGTGGCCCATGTTTTGTAATGAAGACAACTAACCTGAATGTTTTGATTATTGTATTTTACTTCTCTGACTAATACATTTTCATTTAGTATGACAGCCTTCTTTTAGCAACCTCCTTCCACAAAGCATGGCAACATTTTTCTCTATTTGTACTCAATATCTGTCATGCAATATCTCTGTCATATTGCAGGATGGTTGCCAAAGGCTTATGTTTGGGAGGGAAGTGTTGGAGAGATTTAACCTTTTTGAACATACTTTTGAATATAAAATCTCTCGTTTACATATAATAGAACTGAAGAGGCATATTTCCCCCCCCTATGGATTGTCAAGCAGAAAGTGAATAGAGTTAACTAGTTGTATTGTGAAATCCATTGACTAAATGTGAAATTGCTTTTTCATTCTGTTTATGGAATGTAATGTTTTTTCTTGAAATCTTTCGTTCGTAAAGCCCCAGGGTATACTGGCCTAGCCACGTTTAAACAACTCTAGGGGAGTGTCTGTGTGTAACCTATTTCACAGATAAATAACTCCATGGGTGGTGTTTGTTGCTATTTAGAGAAGGTTGGAAAGGGTGGAGACGGGTTTTCAATCTAGAACTATTCCTTTGCTTAGTTGAAAAATCCTGCAGCTACCTGTGAAATTGCATCAATTCAAGTGAGGGGATGCTATTTGTCTATATGTCCAAGTGCTAGAACTTCCTTGCCTGTGTCACCACATTCTTTAGAAGTCTAAGATTCTGCAATAGAGGCAGAGCCAATCTGAAGGGTAATCCCACATCTGCAAACAGAGAAGGAATGTTCTGAGGGACGGGCCTCGATTGGAGGCTGAGGATCAAAAATCTGTTCTTGCTTCACCATAGTGGAATTCAGCCATCAAGTTGGGTTCTAGAAAAGCATAAAGTGCAAGACCCATCTCTCGTTCTGTAAGTCCATGACTCATTCTCACATTGTCTGCTGTGTCAGGGCTTGACTGCTAAGTTGCCTCTGGTGGGTTAAAATTAACTGACAGGCGTATGTTTGTTTTCCTCTCCCTAGAACACTATGATGAGAACTCATGACTTCACTGGAGCTTCTTACAGTACTCAGAGATCATCCATTCTACCTCTCTATGAAGTAAATGACACTTTTCTTCCTTTCATCCATAATAGACAAGCTTAGGAAACAGATATAAAGATGCCATTTTCCAGGGTGTCCATGTTATCTGTATGTATATACTTTTGAGTGTATATCAATGAAGCCTTTTTGTGATGAAGTTTAGCTGGCTGTTGCCTTCCTTCTCAAAAATGAAAAATGGTTTGCTATATGTTTTGGTTGTACTTTTTCATATAAGTAATCCCCGGTTAAGCACTACTCATTCAGCAACCATTTGAAGTTGCAGTGGTGCTGAGCAAGTGGTACGTGCGACAGGTCCTCAAAAGTTCCAGCCATCATAGCATCCCTAAGGGTACATGATCTTGATTTGGGCACTTGGCAACTGGCTCACACTTATATTAGTTGCAATGTCCCGTAATCACGTGATTGCCCTTTGTGACCTTCCCTGCCAGCTTCCCACAAGCAAAATCAATGGGAAGGCGGTAGGGAAGATAACAAGTCTCTCGGGTAAATTACTCCTACCACTTTCTATCCCAAGGAGCCCTCTTTAGAGATCTCATACACCCCAGCACATATGCCCCCTTGCCCACATTCCACATTGTATGCCTGTCTGCCTGCCTAGCCATGCTTGCACGGTGCCACAGCTCCTACCCCCACCCCCCCACCCCTGCTCAGTCATACTCCATTACACTCACCACCCACTGGCCTGCTTGCAAACCGCCCTGGACTTGCGATTTCCTGCTGGCTTCCCCAGCAATAAGTCGCAAGTTGCAGTCATGTGAGGTCCTCACCTAAGGATGGCAGTGGAGACTGCTAAGGTTTCCTCACTGCTAAGTGAGGTGGTCACATGACAACCCACTTTGCAACTCTGTTGCCTAATGACCAATATTCTGATCCTAATTACCATTGTTGAGTCAGGAATACTGCACTGAGGTTATTTTCATCTTCCTCTTTCTGAGTTTTTTTCTGGAATGAAGAATTCTTTAGCAGGTGCTGGGGGGAAAGAATGTCAGCCTATAAAGCAGGATTTTCAGTTTTTTTGACATCTCTCCCCCCCTTGCAGTCTTAATTAAATGTCCCAGGAGAATATGTTGCCAGGATATTGTCTTTCAAACTGGAGCTCAAGTGTGTGTTTGGGTCTGTTTTTCTAGAACACTTTCCAAGATCTTCAAGTGGTGAGAAGGAACCTAAACCTCTTTAGAACTCAAATGATGGATTTAGAATTGGCCATGTTGCGCCAGCAGACAGCTGTTTATCAACATATGACCGAAGAAGAGAGGTAACTGTGGCATTTGTGTCAATAAAGAATTCTTCCTACTTTCTACTTACTAAAATCCTCCCATTCATTACTTTCTCTGAGCACTTTCTTTTCCCTTCTAGGTATGCAATCTTGAATTAATCTTAAACATGGTTCTCCTTCTTGTTGTCCATCTAAACAAAGTAAAAGTCCCACTGCTCGCCCTCTGCTCCTACAGTGTTCTGCTTTTGTTGCTAAAACAACTTTTTGTGATCACCACTGATGTCAAATTGCAGCAACTATTCTCACCCTGCATTTTCTTTTCCCACCATCTTTCTCCTGCTCATTCTGACTGGATCAACTTTTTGTCCTTTGCTATGATCTCCTCTCTTGGTAAGTTTCTTTCTCTTTGATTATTCATCAGTTCAAGTTCTTAGTCTTTTGGATTTTGATATTTCCAGCAAGAAAGATCCCAATCTTGTGAGAAACCTTTTTATATCCATACTGGGTTGGATAGTATGTATAGTATTCGTGCAACTATATTTTTAAACATACTTATAATCAATCATGACTGGAAAAATGAAGCAGATTTCGTTGTCAATTAGATGCCACATAAATTCCTGGCTGTAAACTAGACAATTAAAAAAAAAATTAAAAAAGGCTTGTAGAAAAAAAGGCAATGGCCAATAGCTTTCATTTTTTTACCAAGAAAAATGCCTGGACATGTTTAAGAAGTGACCAAGAGTTGAGTTCAGCTTAAGAGAGACTTAACCTTTTGTACAATTTTTAAGATTCTGCCCTTCCAAGTTCTCATACATACCATTATATTATATTACACCTGCAAAGTACATTTAGCTGGAAAACTGTGAGTAATCCCAAGGCTATCTGCTTTTGGGGGCTAGTTATTAATTTAATCTGAGTCACTCCTTTTTATTCACAAAATGTTCTAGGAGGAAAGCATAGCAATATATTAAAAATGTTTCATAGCTACTTAAACATCCCTTCTTAAGTTAGCCCTTTTTAATTTAGCTTTTGTGAGGTCTACCAAGTTGGCCCCATTATGAATTGAAACCCTTCAAAATATCAAATATCAAATCCATTTTTTTCTGCAGAAGTTGTCCCCTGACGGTTTGAAAATGTTGCCTGGATTGTGCGCCAAATTACATCTATACTATTGCTTAATCCAGCACATTCTCTCCTTTATGCACACAACTTATGGTCAGCTCTCTTCCTTGTGTCTGTAATGTAGATAAGGAGAATGAACTTAATGTAGGTGAAGTTTATGAAAGACTTTTAGTACAAGAAAGAAATTCAAAGAAATCGTGAACGTAATTATAGTAAAGGACACCTAACAAATTGGACGACACTATTTATAGTAAAATAGGACTTAAGACAAAATGTTTTGGACTTAGGGAGAGACTGTATTATTGAGTCCTAACCGTAGTATTCTTTTTTTTACAGATGTAGCATAAGCCCTAAATGTAAGGCTTAATAAGCAAAAAAAAAAATCCTTCTAAAAAACAGTCCATGAAACAAAAAGAATCTTGGACATATCTCTGTGTCCTTGATGGGGCCTCATCCACTTTACACCATCATTTCCTCTTATCAGCATTTTTATCCTTTTTTCGGTGCAATCACCTGGATGAAATGCTGGTGATGTTCTGGGATGTACTTCTAACTTAAGATTTTTTGGGAGGCATTAATTACATGGTCATGATTACCTTCACCTTGGACAGTGCATTATGAAAATAATTCTGGATCTCTGTTCTGTAGAAAACGATGTCTTTGTACATACTGTAGGCAAATACAGTATTGAACATTAAATATTTAGCTTGTTTAAACAAATTTAAAAGCTCAAGTCTGTTAGAATTAGGCAGATGAACCCACCTGAGTTTACTCCAGCTCTTTTCACTGATCTCTTCATGTGAATGTCTATATAGTCTTGCATGTCCCTGGATTGACAGGGTTGGTAGGTTCCTCAACTGTTTTAGATGATTGTCAGTATTTCTATTTGTTATGGTCCACTCAATGAGAAAACTCTTTTTGACCCACGGAACTTGCTTTTGATTTAGGTATGAAGCTGACCAGCTCCAGACTCTGAGGAAATCGGTTCGAATGGAGCTTCAGGAGTTAGAAATGCAGTTAGAGGAACGTCTGCTTGCTCTTGAAGAGCAGCTTAGGAGCATGCATGAGTCACCACCTTACAGACAACAAACCTTCATGGTGGGTATTGTGTTTGGTCCTTGTCTCAAGCATCTTGTGTCTATCAAAAAATGTACAGTTGCTCAATACAAAGCCAAGGTGATGATATTAGCCTGATCATTTCTACCCAAAGAGGTACAAATTACCCGCTGCCTGATGAGAAGAAGCCCTGTCTTGATTTGATCTCATTAAAGACGCAACTTCTATTCAAGCAAAGAATAATTTCAGGGTAGCTTCTGCATAAGGAAAGTAAAGCTGCAGTGTAGGTGGGAAGGAAAGTTGATGCTCCTGCCCCACCCCCAGTTTTTATTCCGCCTCCAGTCTGTGCAGCTGATGAAGTGAGCAATTTGTTTTGGGCTATGGTGACTGCAGGTGGATCTGTGTTTCATAGCTTAATAGATTTTAATATTGGGAACATTGGCTGGAGGCAAAATACAAAGTAATATTAGGAATGTTTGGGCAGCCCACACAGATGAGGAAGACGTGCAGATTCAGATTCAGCTCATTCTAAGGTTATTTTTCTCTCGGTGTAGGCTGAAGAATCTGGTAAAATGCTGGCTGTCAAGGACGTCTATGCACCGAAAGAACAATTTTACTTTAGGACTACATCTGTATTAGATTTAAGCAATTCTAGTAATTGTCAAGTTAAATAATAGTCAATACGTAATGAAATGATCCTAACGAAGGGTAAGAGAATGAGTTATTGACGGAACACCTGGTCAAATCAAAAGAATTCAAGAGACCTAAGAATTATACCTTAAAAATGGAGCACAGAGAGTTTTATATAGGGAACCGGAAGAAACTAAATTATAGAAAATATGATTCATAGATGGATAGCTTAAGCTTTTATAGATAGTGTAAATCTGCGGAATGCACATTTATCAAATGTTGCCTTTAATACAGACAGATTATTTTCCCCCCTGGAAGAGGAACAGTCAAATACGAGAGAGAGATGAAAGAAGCTGCGGGGGTTGGGGGAGATGGTTGGGGTGAGTGGGTGAGAACTTAATTGCTTATGACAGTGGTGGCGAACCTATGGCACGGGTGCCAGAGGCGGCACTCAGAGCCCTCTCTGTGGGCACGCACGCCGTTGCCCCAGTCTTAGGCCTTAGCTGCGTTTTATAAAATCTTTTCACTTTAGGCCTCCACCTCCACAAAAAAAAAAAAGGTTCAATCAATCAGTCAATTTTAACTTCTCACGGAAAAAAAAAGATCTTGCAAAGTTGGAATTGATTGATTGAACTTTTTAGTCCCACCCAGTCTGCTGTTACCACTGCAGCCACACCCACCCAATGGGCCACACCCACCCGGCACCCGACGATGCATAAGTGGGTTTTAAGTTGCAGTTTGGGCGCTCAGTCTCTAAAAGGTTCGCCATCACTGGCTTATGATGTATTAAATAGTTTTCTTTCTTGCTACCTTTATAGAAAAACGATCCTTTTTAGTTCTAAAATAGGCTTCAGTTTTTTTTCATTACAGGTAGTCCTCAACATACAACTATGCGTTTAGTGACCGTTCAAAGTTACAGCACTGAAAAAAGTGACTTATGACCATTTTCACACAACCTTTGTAGCATCCCCATGGTAATATGATCAAAATTGGGGCGCTTGGCAACTGGCATGTGTTGGTGATGGTTGCGGTGTCCCAGGCTCACGTGATCACCTTTTGCGATCTTTTGACTAGCAAAGTCAGTGGGGAAGCCAGATTTAACAACCATGTTACTAACTTAACAGTTGCGGTATTCCCTCAACAAGGGTGTATTCCGTGGCAAGGAAGGGTGTAAAATGCAGTTGTTCACTTAACAATTGTCTTGCTTAGCAATGGAAATTTTGAACTCAATTGTGGTTGTAAGGGGTTAGGGCAGGGGCTCTTTTATGACTCATGGACTTCAATTCCCAGAATTCCTGAGCCAGCATGGCTCAGCATGGAAACCTCTCCCTTTTCCCTCAGCATGGCTGGCTCAGGAATTCTGGGAGTTGAAGTCCACGAGTCATAAAAGAGCCAAGGTTGCCTTCCCCTGGGTTAGGGTTACCTGTATAATGCTTTTTCGATCACCCTTATCTCAAAATGCATGGGCAAGTAAACAATGTTTAATCCCCCTCTCCTTTCTCTTCCCTTCCAGGGGATGTATGGAAGCAGAAGCATTGATAATTTGTCATGTCCTTCTCCGTTGAATGTGATGGAGCCAGTAAGTAATCCTGTGCAACCAAAGCAGGAATGTGCAGAATTACTAATCAGAGAGTTGACTTGGGGGGAGGATAAAAAGCAACATGCCTCTCTTTCATTATGATGCAGGACTATGCATAATGTCATGGATGTGTATAAGCAAAATACGAAACTAAGGTGTTCTATTTGATTTCAATTGTAACTTAGCAGATAAATAAGATAAATGCTGATAAAAGTGGGTGTCTGATGATTTAGAGGCTGATATCCAGTATAGGATTTCACTTGGAGGAATAGGGGTGATTGAGTTTATTCTCTTTCCCATCCCCCAATAAACACACGCTTACTCAAGCTGATCCTGAAAGTGAGGGGAAATCCTCCATAAGAAGCATTTTGGAAACACTATAAAAATATTTGTAAAATAAAGGGAATCGTAAAAAGTCATCAGAATTGAAACACAGAGTTAGAGGTTGAGGATTGTCAATATAAAAAGATGCTTTAGGCGTCTTATGGGAATCTGATGACTAGTTCCTTGCCATTCCAAAGTAGTTTCTGGAATTTTTTTTAGAAGGCAGGATTTTCCGAGGTGCCTGGGTACCCAGAAGCCAATCTCCTCTCTGAGACAAGATGTTCGTAGAAATCTCTCAGAAAAGGCTCTCCCCATAGACCCTGCCAGGCAAAATTCTCTAGCTAATGGGATCCATAGCACATACTTTGTGCCAGTCTAGGCAGGACAGATCAGTGTAAATGTAGACAAGATTTTCCTCAAGCAACCTAGGCCCATGCCAGTTATTACTTTTATTAGTGTTGTTACTCTTCATGGAAGGTTTAGGGATGCAGGGTTGTTGTCAGGTAATTTAAAATAAAGCTTATGACCCCAAAACAAGATACTATGTTTATGCTCTTGTCTGATTCTTTCCACTTCCTGAATTCCCAGGTTTCTGAACTCATTCGAGAGCAGTCATCTTTGAAATCGGAGTTGGGGTTGGGACTGGGCGAACCCGGCGTGCACACTCCTCCGCCTGAAGGCTCGGAATCTACATTTGAACCCTGCGCCCATTCTGATTCCTCTTCGGTGTGTTCTAGTCAAGCCAGCCGAAAAGCCCGTGGGCGGTCATCTGAAAGGGGCAGGCCGCCCAGCCAAAAGGTCTACCGGGCAAGCGTAGCCTTGATGCCCTCTCCCCCAGCAAGAGCAGGAATTGGGCAGCTGTCAGAGGAGCCCTGGACATCCAAGTCCACTGTGGAGCAGACACTTGAAAAGTTACCCCTTGGGCCTACAGCTGAGGAAGTGTCCAAGTCTGTGGAGAATGAGGAACTGCAGCAAGTCATTCGAGAGGTGAGGACAGAGGTTTCCTACAGGGAGGATTGTGTGGGCTTGCTTATGCCGTCTCTCTCCCTTTAAGTCAGAGGTTTTCCCTAAGTTCAAGTTGAAAATTAGTAGCTAAAAATGGGCAAGAAGAAATGAAACAGAACAAATGGATTTTGATGAAAGGGTGAGAACATCTTGAAAAAAAAAAAAGATACTGACCAGCTAGTCAATTACAACTGGCTAATTGCTTATTTTTTTAAAAAATGTAACAGTCAACTAGTCAACTGTTTTTCATCCACTAAGAGATACTAAATGGATACAAGTTTTTTCCTCCTTTAGTAGCAGCCCAGAGTTTCTGGGGAGAAACTGTGCAGAAAGAAGGAAAGCTGAATTTAACAGCAAATGGAGTGAAAGAGGCCCTCTAGTGCAGGGGTCCCCAACCCCGATCCGTGGACTGGCAGCAGTCCACGGCAAGCCAGAAACTGGTCCGCACAAACAAGCGAAGCCCCATCTGCAGAATGCAGGCAGAATGCAAAACCACACCCCCTCCGGTCTGCAGAAAAAACCTCTCTCCGTGGAACCGGTCCCTGGTGCCCAAAAGGTTGGGGGCTACTGCTCTAGTGGAAACTTCTATGAACCAAGAGTTGCGAGGATATAATCCTAATAAGTGAATAAATAAACATGGCTGAAAATCCTATATTTTCTATTCTGCATATGTACTTAGCCCTTACTAACTAAGCAGAGAAAGAATATTTGTTAATCATTAAATCAGCCCAGTATGGACCTACCCAATTTGATTGTTTGAAGTGTGAGAATCACTTTAAATAAAATTAAAGGAAGACTTTTTTATATTCTTAGTTTCAGAGTATATTCACATAATTGGAAACCGGCAATGCTTAAATAGTCCAAGCATGATCTATATTCTCCAGTGGCTTTTTCTAGGATGTTAGGCCATTTTTAGTCATTTGTGGTTATTAGATTTCCAAGGATTTGTGGAAGTCACAAATTCTCAGATCTTTGGAACAAGTTATGCTGTGCCAGAGTATTAGTCCATCAGGCACTGAGGTATGTTTCCTCCACCTGATGCTGGAATTCCAGAAAATTCAGCTGCATGCAACCATATGCTTTGTCTGCGCCCTTACCATTATATAACTAATACCTCATTGTATTTAAAAATACGATTGGTCACTACAAGGACCTTCAAGCTAAGAATTTTGGTAACTAGTTGAATGCATTTCAGTCTCACAGAGGAGACCCTGCATAGCTTAATCAATGATTCAAGTCATTTTGATTTTGGATAGCAAGAAAGGCCTGGTGAGGGGTGCACTACTCCAAAATATAGTCTTAGCTGATAGGGTTGATTGACTGTTGCATGTTATTCATGCAAATTGTGTGCACATAGGCTGATTCCTACACAGGTAGAAGACAGTCAAACTATCCTAAAGACATGAATTAAATGCACATTTTGATTGGTGTTATGGTATTAATGGCCATCCTTAGAGATTGACCATTCTAACTTTGAGATACATTATAAACATCTGCCACTGATTCACAATATTCTGACTGTTGTTCCTTCAGTTAATTCTGTGAGGCCAAGCTTAAAGAAAACCTGACACGACCTGCCTTTCATATAATTTCTTCTCGGTGATGGCTATGCCTAGCCCTTCTTCAGATGTGGACATAATGGTATAATTAAGTTATACTGTATGAAAAAATGGCTAAAGTTTTGAAAGCGCTCACACGGGTTTGCCAAAAATCTCATGGCATTTAAGGGGTGAGTGCTTTAAGACATCAAGTTGCGTTCACGCAACGGGTGCCTACTAGTGGAGATGTAGTGGACTGTCTGAATTTCAAACAGTTGTAACTGCGGCCTCTTACACATTTCTGTACAGAAGTTCCATTGAGTTTTCTTGGTTGCTCTCCAGGTAAGTGGGTGGAAGGGTACAGCTCCTGTCTTGCAAATTCCAGAGTTGGTCAGTTTGCTGAATGTCGTATGTGTTGCAGGAAGAGGGGGTGTTGGGTGTGATGTGTGTCACTGTATACTCGAGACTCATAAATACTCAAAGCTTTAGCCAGGCTTTGTTTGCTTTTAAAACAGAACGACTCTATTGCAGAAAGCCTTATTAATATGCATTCTTGATACTTGTTCACAATGTTAAGCTTACGGTGTATTGATGATTTGTCTCCTGTGTCTTTGAATTATTTTCTTTGCAATGGGACAAAGTGAAGGCCTAACAAAAAAAACAGTGTTTCAGAGCATTTTTGAGTGGCCTGTAATGCGTTTGAGCTTTTGACCTCCATTTACTAGAATGAAAAAAAAAGCCTTCTGACCCTTCAGAATAAATGAATACATTCCTCCTACAGAAAAATATTAAAAGCTAAAGAAGTCAGATACTGTTCTGTCTTGGTTTGAAAAACTTACACTCTGACCTTTTATTTATGGAATGGAACAAACCACAACGAAAATATAGTAAAGTCTTTTGTGAGTGGATTGATACTGAGGAAAAGGACAGTCTGTGATTTTTAGTAGTTACTGTGAAGTTTTTTCAAGACTCTGGTGCACTATTGCAAGGGATAATGGATGTTTTATTGGAGAAAAATAATGTCCATGTGCTGAAACATCTCCATTTCCTATAAGCTTTTTCCAGAAGCAGAAAAGCTTTATTTCATGTAAACAGATTATCCTTTGTTGTGCAGAGTATTGGTTTTCAGAAAATATGGGAATGTGATTCTCTTCTTCTCTGCCTTCCCCCTCTCTTTTAATGTCCTTTTAATATAGTCAGCTATAGTTTCGGGTCCCAGGTTTGTTCTTTAGAATTACTTTCCAGTAGAAAAGTTGTACGCCTTATATCTCACAGTGCAGACGTATCTCTGAACCAGCCAGCAAACTTCAGTGCTGAGGGCTTACAGCTTCCTGCCAAGGTCATACAGGAAGTCTGACTGTTATTAAGTTAGGAGTAGAACACAACTTGCCTCTTCTCAGAAAGATTCATCTCTTTCTTCGGTCACCCACTGTACTAATTCAGGAAGCCTTTTCAATGATAATTTCCAAATGTACTGATGATTTCCATTAAGTGTACTCATAGTCTTGTTGCTCTGCTACTCTTGAGTATCTTCCAGAATCAGTGGGGCTAGAACTAAGAGCCTTTGATTTTGAAGACAGCCGCTCCAGCCCTTCTCTAAAGGTCGTTGAACACTTTATCAAAGCAGAGAAACACATTGCTGTGTGTCAGATGGGTCTTGCTTGGTGGACAGAGTTAAATGGAAAGGGCAGACTTGGCGAGATCTCTTCCATCTTGACTGTTTGGATAGAGATAGGCAAACTGGTGCCATCCAGTTGCTTTTGATTACAGTTCCCAAGGGTCCCCAATCAGGATCACATCTTTCATGTCCAGGGCAACCAGCTTTGTTTTTCTCGCTCAAAGGAAGGTTATTCCTGGACTAACTGGAAGAGAAAGAGGGAACTGGTTGAAAACGGAATGTGCTAATTTAGTCACTGACATTATAACTGATTCGCACATAGTGCTGTGCCAGGCTTTGCGCATCGCATACAAAAAGCTTAATCATGATTCGGAGACCATAGCATCTGGGATTATACAACACACTAAGGCAATTAAACCACACAGTGATTTATCCTCTTATATAAATCTGGTTGGTGTTGTAATTGGATTATCCTGTAGCTATCGGTGTGCAATATTTGTTATAGCAAAAACAGCATTGAAAATTTGGGGATGCAAGGCCACATCACATGAGGGGGGGGTCTTTGTTTTTTAACTGTGATATGACTGCTTTAGGGCTTATAAACTACACTGTACCTCAGAGTAGTAGGAAACTACTGTTAGTTTTCAGTGGCCTTAGTCCAAGGAGCTCAGAGGGTGAGAGAAAAAAAAGGGACTTGCCCACCCTGTCTCACAAGATAAAAAATACAGCAGAAAGGTGTTTAACTGATATGGCTCAGGAAATCTGATGCACTGAGTTCTGGTGCATCAGAAGAAATGATGTAGTTGGTCGTACATGGAAAACCCAGCCATTTTGTTCACTATGGAACTGCTCTGTTTTTTTGGGTGAGCACGAGAGCCATTGTGTTAACACTTCCTCCAAATGTTGAAACTGCTGAGACAGGTGAAGACTGAGCAGGAATTATGGGAAAAGATTCCCACCTCCTCCACTTCACTCCGAAGTAGGGAATAAAAATTGAGGAAAAAAGGATTTCCAAATCAGAACCTGTGAGGCTGGTTGAATTATATAGGTCTGTATAAATAAAGTATCTGGTAGAGACCATAACTTAAGCTGTGATTTATTTTTAGATCAAGGAGTCCATTGTTGGTGAAATCAGGCGGGAAATTGTAAGTGGACTGTTAGCAGCTGTTTCTGCCCCAGGCCTATCAACTAATTCTAAGCAAGAAACCCAGCCCTGAATCGGTACTACAGGTAAGATCTTCAGTTGGTTGCCTATTAGTTGACCTGTTTGATAAAAAGGTGAAGGTTTATACATAATACATAGGAGATTTCTAACATTTAAGTAATACGGTCATGCCCTATCTATGAATCCTGTCAAGTCAGCATTGCTTTTAAATGGCCAGTTTTTAAGTTCCCTTTGAGTGAGAAGAACTGCATTAAAACTAATAACGCCAGACTGAGATTATCAGAAATTGGATTTACTCTGTATAAAACAGACTAGCCTTAAAGACACAATAGCAACAGTATTTTCCTCTGTGATGTGGTTCTTCCTATGTATTTCTGTATACTTACATAGCTGGAAATATTATAGAATGGAGACATAGTCCACCATATACATGTTGTCTCTCACCTTTCCTTTGTTTCTCACTAAGGGACTGTAGTTAACAGAGTGCTTCTTAAAATATCTACATAGAACATGCCCGAGCCGTTCTTTGCAAATAAAAGCAATTTTCTCTACCCATCGAGAGAAACATATCCATCATTACTGATCTTGACTGGAGAAATCCACTTTTAATTTTCTAGATATGTCAGAATTCCCCAGAACAAAGTTAGTAAATCACATGTAAGGGGAGTACTAGAAACCTCTCATTTAAAATTAAACCACGGAGTGTCCTGTTGATTGAATAAGTTTCCAAAGCCCCCTGTCTGCAACTACTCTTGAATCCAAGTATGGATTAAAAAACATGATTTTTAGAATATTAACGTATATCCCATTAGTACTATAAATAACCAGGCATTTATCTTCCCGACTTCACATAATGTGTTTGTTTCTTTTCCCAAGGGTTAGCCTGTGATCCAGAGAGCCTTATGGATGCCTCCTTTTGGGATATGTAGATGGATGCATCTGTCTGCTCTCCTGATGCCAGAGGAGACTGCTGTTGTATGCAACAGTGACTTGAGTGCTGCACGTCTTCCCATTTCAGGTCTATGTACTAAGATCAAGGCACTTTTCATCTTACTGATGTGCGTGAATGATCAAGAGAATTGTGATTATCTTGCAAGCCTTAATATTTATTTGCGTGTTCCTCTTGAGACTTGAAGATTTCTGGACCTTCCCTGGTTATAAATAGCCTAGGATTGTTATAGTTTCAAACAACAACAACAAAAGTCCCTGCTGACCTCTGTGAGGTACTTAACTGTGCAATAACTGTTTCACTTTGAGAGCTTGGGGTAATCGTTTCCACTGCTGTTATCAAGTGCCACTTAAAAAGAAGAGAAGAAGCTGTTGTACAAATGAATGCTTGGGAGAAGCTGCCGTTTGCAGAGAGTTTAGAAAATTACATGAATTTACTTAAAACTACTGCAGATGCTTACACTGAAAGCCTTATCTTTGTATAGTAGATAACTTTTTTAAAAAAAGATTTATATATTTTTCTGCTTTCTTTATCCTTCCCTTTTTTCTTGGGATATTTTTTTTTAACTTAATGTATGAACTACTCTGCAATTATATTAAGAGGTGGTTTTTAGCCATTTCCTCTGCCTGTTAAAACAAGTCTGGGGAAAAAAACACTAGTTTAAAAGGCAAAGCAAGTGGCATATAACAACATGGGCTTAGCATTAGACTGCTGTTATGGGGAAATTTTTCACTCATTTTTCTGCAGCCTAAAGAAAATGACATTCACCACATCCAATAAAAATGGAAGCAGGTGTGATTCTTAATATATAGTTTAATACAGTAATGCTCAAAAGTTGGAATATAGCCATGTCTTAAATGCTAATCAAACTACCTTACATGTTTTTTTTTAAAAAAATGTTTTCAGCTAACAAAATTAAGATTCTGTTAAATAATCAGTGACTCATAAACATGTAACAATGTTGGGAGAAGTATGTCAAAAAACTGCATTGGGAATATACACCCAAGGGCTAAATCCTTTTTAAAAAGGCTATTGTGCCAATAAAAATATTTATTTTGCCTATAGATGTAATGATGTGTCTTCTTACATTTTGATACTGGAGACCAAAATATTTAGAAGAATTTGGGAGTCCTAATTTCATCCATAACTTTGATGCCATTTAGGAGCTTTGTGTTACGATGGTTAGAATGCAGTATTGCAGGCTAACTCTGCCCACTGCCCACTGCCAGGAGTTCAATCCTGACTGGCTCAAGGTTGACTCAGCCTTCCATCCTTCCGAGATTGGTAAAATGATGACCCAGATTGCTGGGGGCAATATGCTGATGTTGTGAACTGCTTAGAGAGTGCTGTAAAGCACAATGGAGCCATATATAAGTCTAAGTGCTATTATTGTTGCTACTCAATTCTTCCTTATTGAAGTAACTTTAAACAGTGACTCCTACAAATTTACTTGACCTTCCATAGACTCCCTATCACCATGAGTGTGTCTGCATGGATACATAATAAAACCCAAGCCAACGGGATGACGTTCTTGGATAGAGTTGCCCAACCTCACGAAGCAGATAATTATTGAATCACACATACTTCAGTAAGGAGAACCTGCTATCCTCCAGAATTTGCTAAACCCGCAACTCCTTACAGCTCCACTTAGAATGGCCAATGATCAGGAACTGTAATTCAACAAACTCCGGAGGAGTTGGACGGTCTCCATCCTGGTTACCGAGTTTGGCATTCTTTTTTTTTAGAATGATCATGTTGAGGACAATGACAAATTGCAGGAGCATGCTGCTCATTCAGTAAAGAGTTAGAAAAAATGCTTTATGTCTACATCAATCCAGGTTGATGCTATTACAGTATCAATATATTGGATTTTCTATCCAAGGCTCAATACATCACTAACTTATATTTCCCAAATTCCAAGTTTTCTACACTATGTGTCAAATTATTTTTGAATTTATGAAATACTGACTCTGAAAACAGAAGCCATAAGAAAGTTGCTATGGGAAGGGGGGGGAGGAGGAGGAGGAAGAGGAAGAAGAAGCAGGAGGAGGAGGAGAAGAGAGAGAGAGAAGAAAGAAAGAAAGAAAGAAAGAAAGAAAGAAAAGAAAGAAAGAAAGAAAGAAAGAAAGAAAGAAAAAGAAAGAATCCCAAGTGCTCTCATAATTCAAATATGGACAACTTATGAAACTATTTAGAACATAGTTTGGAGTTTGTAGCTATTTAATTGGTTGTTCCTTTGAGCTGAGAAACACTAGTTCACTGTTTTAACTATTTTGGGGAAATAAACTATGTTCCCTTGAATCTATAAAAAATATCGCCATTCAAGTACTAAGTTTTTATCCTTTGCATACTTGGAAAATGTTCCAGCCCACTTTCATAGATAAGAAAAATGATAAACTTTATTTTGACTGAAGTCTGATATTCCTCAAAAAACCAATATATCATCTTCAGAAACTTTAGGTTTTCATTTCAACATGTCCAAAGCAATTGGCTAAAATGTTACAAAGTGGAAAGTAATTTTTTTTAACTTCTGCAAGCTTGGTTAGAAACAAAACAAGAAAGGTTACAAAAGAGTCTGTGATGGCAGTTCTAATTCAAACGTTTACACCCAGCGCCCTTCTAGTATTGGACTAGAATGCCAATCATTCTCAGCCAACAAAATCAGACTTGATCATCTTAAGATGGCGTGCAGGACGTACTGTGGTAGGTATTGCTAAGTACAGAACTGATTCCTGGCTGAACCAAATATTTGCCAGCACATCAGATTCAAAAGCAAAAAATGTTTCCTTAGTTGGTAGGGTACAAAAAGGAGCTCTTTTAGTAAAAGAACCTTTTTAAAAGAAAAAAGAAAAAAAAAGAAATTAGATAATTTCTCTCAATTGTGTTCCCAAATTTTCTGAGATAACTTTTTTCGTTCAAAGCCCTGGACTGCCCCACTTTCCATGCTTTATTACTTCCTTTTACAGACTGGGCATATTTACATGAGATTTTTGCATCAGAGAATCAGCTCCGGACCTGTGTGCGTGCAAAGGTCAGCTAATTCTTATTTCTGGCTCTGCATCAGTTTATTTAAGATCATAGATAATCTGAGAGGGTTTTTTTTCGCACTTTTGACTCAGTGTTAGCTCATGTGAGCAGTTTGTTTTTCCATTGGCAGGAATTTTTACCTCACCCTGCTTTTAGGTCCTGGACGTAAAATAATCATCTTCTTGGTAGTCCTTGCTTATACTGTTATCATCATTCTCGTATCCACCTGCTTGAAATACTTGCATTGTTCAGAATTTTGCTTTTTTTGTACTTGGATCAATGACCATCCACAGTTCTGTATCTGCCAGATCATTGCCCCAGATTTACAAGCCAGTGATAATTAAACTTGTATTATCTAAAGCTACTAAAAATGGTGGTTTTTATTGTCTTATCTGCTTTCTTTTAATATATATATATACTAGCTGTACCCGGCCACGTGTTGCTGTGGCTCAGTCTGGTTAAATGGAAAAGAAAGAAAAGAGAAAGCACACGTTTCTAATATGTTTAATTTCACAATGCTTGTGGGTATACAATATTTTTTGTTCCATTGCATCAATTCCAACGCAATGTCACACGAAATAATTAAATCAAAATGAAAATAAATCAAAATCTATGAAAATTCAATTTAACAATGCAATCGGAAACATTGAAATGGAATCATAAAATTGGAAATTTGGAAATCGTAAATGGATCGTAAATCGGAAACATTGAAATGAAATTGTAAAATCGTAGCGTGTGTTGCTTTTACATCCAACAGATGGCGCTGTTTTTTTAAAAAAGCATGTTTTTACCTGTCACAGGTGTGACATCTACATAATATAGGTATATAAAAACACGCGCGTATTCGAATGCAACGTTGTGTCAAAATTTCAAAGCAATCGGTGAAGAACTTTCGGAGATTTAAGATTTTGAACAAACGAACATTTACATTTTTATTTATATAGATTTCCGAACATTTTGTTACCAGGCTACCCCTAAATACTTCAAAAATAATTAAGGATACAGTTGCATTAATGATTTGACTCATTAAAATGATTCTTAAAAGACTGGAATTTTTTTTTAAGGTTAGCATATCACAAATATGTTATACTTATGCTAGGTCCAAAGCACTTCTTCCAAATTGTTTTTCATGCATGCAGAGCCATAAAATACACTGGCTTTCCTATAGAAGTTCAAGGTATCATAAGTAATAGTCCTCTAGTTATCATCACAACAACCCTGGGATTAGGATTTTAAACCTTTAACTCCAGAATCATAGTCCAAAGAACTAATCACTTCAGTACATACATAACACAAATCTACATATGGTTTGTTTCTGATTTAGTGCAATTTCTGAATATACATACTGGCTCTTGAGTTATTAAGATATACAATGGTAAAAAGGAGACATGGCCAAAACACATGTTAGCTTAATGATATAATGGTTACTAATGTCTTCTTAAATTCTACAGTAAACGTGTGAAGCTGTCTTGATCTGCATTTAGCTTGGAATGGTGATTATGTTTTAACCTTTTGTTCCCCTTCTGGGGACTGGACCAGTTCCCATGCTGTTTCCTTTGCCTAAGAAATATGTACAAGCAGATTCCTTTATAGCCATTTTCTGCTTTGATTCATCGTCTTCGGTTACACGGTTAAATACCTCGACAGGTAGAGTGGTTTAGTTCGTTAAGACCGACCGCATGTTAGCGTCTGTAACATGATAACCCCGTAGGGTCACAATACGTTCACTTCCTCAGTAGGGTATCCTTATGAGACACTTAAAGTCGTCCTTAACTTGGACGTCAAACCCTTATAAGTATGTACCTTACTATAAGGATGCTGTCAAGCATTCTGTCTGACTGGATTGAATGAATTATGTAAGCACATAAGAATTTAATTGGTCCAAAGTCTAGGTATCTTAGAGAATACCTTTGCCCCAATAGTTTCTACCCATCCTACCTGGCAGGAGATAAGAGTGTGAGGGGACCTGATATAAAGAAAAAAGGGGGAAGGGAAAAATGGCAATTTGATACACGGTCAGGTCCCTGCTTTCACCAGAGATTGAGATGAAATGGAGAGCATTCTTAACTTTTATGGTAGGATGTTCTTCTGCCTCATAGTTGTAGAGATTGAGATGAAATAAAGAGCATTCTTAACTTTTATGGTAGGATGTTCTTCTGCCTCATAGTTGTAGAGATTGAGATGAAATAAAGAGCATTCTTAACTTTTATGGTAGGATGTTCTTCTGCCTCATAGTTGTAGCAGCCCTTCCTAGTCTGGGTTCAGTGTTACTAATATGTAACTTCAGTCTTCAATTTTTGATTTGCATTTGCTGTATTTTTTTATTTTTTTTATATAAAAAGAACACTAAAAAAAATTCTAAGCTTGAAATGTCAACCTATCTGAATTATAAATTCTCATTTATTTGAGGAAAACCTCATTTCTGAATTGAAAAAGTGGTTTGTTTGCTCTTCTACTATAAATCCAACATATAAATGTGGAGAGAAGAATCATTTTTCATTGTAGCCTTATATCCTATTCAGGTATTCCTCTAAAATTATATGAGGTAAATTTGCTTTGGCTCAATGAGGTGTCTTGAACTGATCATAACTGGGGCCAAAAGGCCATCCAATTGTTCTTCATTTTGCCCCCAATGTCTCAATCCAAGAAGATCATGCTACTTCTTTGTCCCTGAGCTCCCCTCATCTTGGCCTTAGAAGTGAGAAGGCAGTGTTGGTTTGTAAAGCAAATTGAGAAGAAGAGGACATTTCAAATGTGTCTTTGAAGAGCTCTACAGCTCTGTTTTAACTTTGTATAACTAAAGTACTGCACAGGAGAGAGCAAAGTAGTGATGCTCTTCCTCTAAATCTTTTTTTAATGCTAATTCTTGACATCTGCTGACTCCAAGAAACTGAACTGATTTTCATCATGGCACTATGTGTAAATAGTAGATTATTTCCCAATTAAATACATTAAACCAGAATTTTAATCTAAATTCCATGCCAGCAGGATGTTATAAACTGAACAAAAATGTTTTCAACATAAGATTGGGTC